GTGGGTGTAGGAAAGGATGTGGTAGAAGATGGAGTGAAACGCTTAGATTCTCTGGTACGACAGGTAGAGTGAGAAGGAGGGGGAGGGGTAGGCACCAGGGAAGTGGTAGCAATTGGAGCATCTGGATTTAGACTGGAAAAGGAATTTGACTGGGGGAAAGGGGTAGTAGAGATAGGTTGGTTTGGGGTAGAGGTAAGAGATATGGAGGGAGATGCTAAGACTTCTTGAGAAGATGGGAGGGGAGCTGACCGAAGTACAGTTTTGGAATAGAATAGAAAGAGAAAAACCTCGTCGGCATGCTTCTTGTCTGGCCTAACATAGAGTCAGGCTAGTTTGAATCTCAGAACTGCTACCTCAGATTCGAGCTTGTAGGCAGGGCAGCTCCTATAATATACATTATGGGAGCCACCACAATTGGCACATGTGCATGACTGAGCAGAGCAATTTGAATGATCAGATCCAGGTTGGGGACACATTGAGGGCAGCTGGTTGTAGAGCGACAATGTTTAGCTGGGTGGCTAAATTGCCATTTCTGACATTGATGGGGAAGGAGTCAATATGGTTGGACAGGGCAGGACACTCCATCAATATAAACTTCATGGGGGAGGTCATGTCTACGGAAGCTAATCTTGGCAATATTGGTGTAGGACTTACATTGGCCTCTGGGGGGAATAGTGTAGCACTGGACTGCCACTGCATCATACTCTATGAAGCATGTGAGCAAGTCGTTTTCACAGTCTGACCAGTCCTTGTCGTAGACATGACAATCAGTTGGAGAGACAGAAACAGTTCCAGTACAAGTATTAAGGAAGGATTGAAGTTGGGCAGTAATAGGTTTGCCAGTGAAGTCAGTCAGGGTAGATAGTGCATGAGCTTGGGATTCGGATGTAACTATGAGGGGGAATCACAAAGCATTGATCCCACTTGGCTGGGCCAAAAAGGGTACTGAAAAGGTTTGTAGAGATGGAATAAGTAGGAGAGCTAGGACAAGAGGAAAATGGGGTGGCATGGAGAGAGGTAGTACTGTTGGCAGGAGGACAATAAGGATGAAGAGTAGTAATAAGGGGTGGAGGTAGACAATGAAAAAAACTGTGTAGTAGAAGATGGAGTGGAGGATGTTGGGAGAGAGGAAGGGGTGTGTTCTGAAGAATGAGTAATGACCTGGGTGGATAATTTGGAATGGATAGGGTTGACCACAAACATCAAGGGGTATAATTAGTATCAGTTGGAGCTGTGGTCAAAGGAGAGGCAGGGGATGAAAAAACAATGAAATCGAATTTTGATAGGCTGGTTGATAAGGGGCAAGCCTCAATGCTCCAAATAAGGGTAAAACATCTTCATTATTGGCTATGGTGAGCCTGAAATAAATGGGGAAGCCATTCATGACTGATGCAAAGCTAGCCTTTCATCCTTTCAGCACGACTCTCACATCCTAGGAAGTGGAAAGAAGGGGATGATGATCAGGAAAGGTAAGGGGGAGGAGAAAGACGAATGCAAAAGTAATTGAGGCAAGGGCTGAGGTAGAGGTGATCCCCTAAATTGGGCCCTAGTCCCTGTCTCCTAGGCCCCCTACAACAACAACAAGCAAGGGGTTAGGGGGGACTAAGTATGCAAAGTAAACAAATGGTATGAAGAGAAAGTCTTTTGGGAATGGCATAGAATAGAATGACCTGTTAGAGCCAAAATTACTAAAATTGCCAAGGTGCAGCAGAAACTTTCAATGGAAATATCAGGTTTTAACAAGGTACTCTGAATTTCATTCTCCCTCTCTATACTAGTGCTCTGCCTGATATTAATGATGTGCTTCCCTAATGAAAAGATAAAGCTTACATTCTCTTTTCCTCTCCAGTGTGTGTCTGACTTTGGCATATACATTATAATATACAGAATCATATATGGTTTAGAAAATAACTCAGTGAGCCTACTGCTGCTTTGCCTTTTTAACAGACTTGACAGGTAAGGTTTACAGAGCAGGTATGAGCTTGAGAACAAGTTAGTTACCTCTATTACCTCAATTGTCAAGTGAGTTTTCCCCATGCTATACCTGCCAATAATCCCTCACCTAGCTGAAAAAATTATTGGTACATATCATTTCTAATTATGAGGAAAGACTCATATATATATGTTCCTAACTGACTTTTTATATATCAAAAAAAAAAAATATATATAGGGTACTCATAAAAATAGGTGTAGAATTTAAAATGGGCCTCAAAACTATCTGTAGTTGACATAAATTACTTTGCATCTTTTATATAACTAGTAGCTAGATATTATCATTTATGGCTCTTGTTATCTGAAGAGCTTTCACTGCCAGCCCATATCTTTTTTCACCATGTATTTTCTGTAAATGTGGTGTTGAAAGATAGCTGGCAAGTACAAATAGACTAGAAATTGTAGCTTGGAAAGCAAATTCTCCAAAACCAAATTTAGAAAATTACCTTTGTATCCTTAGGGTAGTGTCTCTTGTGTGGCATGACACTCAGAAACTCTAAATCTATAAAATTGTGCACATGAAAAATTAAAGCAAAACCTACACAGCAAAAAGGAATGAGACCATAAAATATGGTTGTTAGACAAGACCAATTTTGTGCGATAAAAAGTTTAAGAAAATACATGCCATGGATATTGTAGGTATGGCCCTGAGATCATGGTCTGAAAAAAAAATCATTTAAACCTATTTAACTATTTGCATACAATCAATTAACAAAATAGAACAAATATTATACTTAGTGGCCTATTTCTACAGTCAGTACCTATTATTCTATTAACTTACTTTAACTGCTCTGTTAGGTATAAATGTCTTTCTTCTAAAAATGTGAATCCAAACAGAAATACATAATGATTCACATAAAAAAAGGTTTTAGGCAGGCATAAAAGGGGAGAGTTTGATAGGTTTACATCTAAAAATAGAAAGAGTAAAAAGGGGGTCTCATTATGGATTTCCTTTACTGGTGTAACTATAAGTTATGGCAATAAAAGTATGTAAGGTTTTTAAAGCAACCTGAGTAGTCGGCTGGCAATCACTCAGGCTGCAAGGTTACCAAAGCAGTGCCCTATGCTATACACATCCTCCACCAATACCAGTCACCTACTAGATTTGAGTGAATAGAATAAATTATTCCAGAGATCAGCATTAGGAAACAAAAAGTCTGCATTCTGACTTAGTTGGAAGCAGTAGAGATAAAACTAAGTCCAAATTGCACAGTTAGTTACAGACATTATAGTTATAAGATAGATATGGTTGTTTTAACCCAATGGCGCCGGGTGTACAAAAGAAAAAAAAAACTCTACGCTTAAACTAACAAAGGCGGTGCGCTGACTTTAAGTGTGTGAGTAGGGGACATCAGCCCGAATCACTGGCTCGCCGCGCTTTGGCGCGCCGCCGGCTCGTTTGGCTGCACGCCAGCTTTCGAGCTCTTTGTTTACACGCCGATCGGCGTCACCCGGCACCAAGGGGTTAAGGATGAATGATTAAAGAAAGTATAAACTAGATATCTGTGAATAGAGCCAGGAAACGTGAACAGCCTGTATTATTGGTAAATAATGCTGACATTGTCTTGCGTTGCTTCATGTGGAACTTCTCAAGGAAAATTGTATCATTTGTGCTGATATATTAACCCAATGCTGCTAGGTAGTTTCCCAATATGAAAGCCCTCTCTCCCAGGCTGTATTCACAGTGGCCCAGGCCCTGCTGCTTGGGGATCATGTTGGCACCATAGTGTGCATGGCATGACTGCATATGCCCCTGGAAAATGGGACTGGCACACCATAATATGCAAGCACATGCCACCAGGAATATAGTTCAGGCATGCATGACATGTACTTTCATGCCATACGGAGGAAAAGGGTTAATAGATAAGAATTTTTGTATCAGGGAATTACACAGATGAAGGGCAAGATATGTACAACTTAGAGTTAACCTATTAATAAATACTTGAAGAACCTGTATTTCTTTACAAAGTTAAGGAAAGATAAGTAAGAATGAATATTGGAATACAACATACTATGTAGAGAATAAAAATGTTAATGATGAGTATATTAAACTATATGGAAGCAGACAAAAGTCAGAGGGATGTGTTTTAGAGATGCAATAAAAAAGAGCAAAGTTCACTGTGATGAAGACATGTCCAAAAGGTCCATTCTCTTCTTTTTTATATCTGAACTCCTGTAGATTCACCTAATGCTGATAGGCATGGTGTGTACGTATATGCCATACCCACTATGAGTTTACTGGTTTTCCTTGATTTATGAAAATATTTTATGTTATCTTATTTTGCTGCTGCTACTGTTTACATTATAGTAATTATGTTTCTGATAAAACTAATACCATTGATATTGGTAGCACTAGAAAAAAATACATTTTTCCTGTCAGTTCAAGGAAAGGTGAAATCAGGTAAGGTCACAAGGTCTACTAATTAACTCCTTTGTGGCTAAGCACTAGCAGAGCCATCTATGTGCTGAGACATTTCACAGAAATATAAAAAATGAACACAGAATTTACCCCATTTTTTATTAATTTTCCCCGGCGGCATTTGGTTAATTATGTAATTTTACTGTTTTCCTTTCTTTTAGTTCCCACCTTCATCTGCTTATGAAGTATATTTCAGTATTATCAGCAACAAGGTTACGTTTATTTATTCCTAGATCAATTTAAGCCATTTTTATTGGTGTTGAAAGCTATTCTTAATTACTGAAACAAAATTATCATGATTTTTTATAGGTATGAGACTGCACTCTTAATTTTAGATAAGCACAAGACTGTGCTCTTGGTGAAACAAACACTAATGATTCATCTTACAGTATCACATATATGGTATAAAACCAATAGCTCATTCAACCTGTAGCAGCAATACTGTATAATTTCAGGGAACCACAACAAAATCACACAATTTTCTCATTGCCATATTTAGTTAATGATCGCCATTAACTGGGTACATAATTTCCTTTTGACATTCCTATGGAAGGAGACGAAGCAGGAAAAAGGTAGAATAAACACTTAAGCATTTCAACATCTTTAATATTCAAAACATTACAGACCATGCATTTAAATACAAAACTGGTACAATAATATGAAGTCAAATTGTATGAAGAAAATATAAAAGCATTTTGCATGAATTACCTCAAACTAAACTGGTATAACATTTTAATAAATGAAAAATGTATTCCTGAAGAAAATAATAATACATATTAATAAATAAAAAATATCACGCTGTCCCTCTCAACAGAAAAAAAACAGAATACAGCCATGGATTACATCATCAAAATTAACATCAACTTCTTCATACCTTAATGTTAATTTCATATACAAATCTCAGTCTCTCCTTTTGGAGTCAGCTGCTCTAGAGAGATCATCTACCTTTTGGGAAAGTAAGGCAGAGTTTTGGTCAACCCATTTTAAAGTGTCCATGTGTGCTGACAGCACTCTGGCAATTGTTGTAACTGGGTCAGAGGCCTGTGAGGAGTTGTTGTTGTTGTTCAAATGTTCAATAACCTTACACAAGTCATCTGTCATCTGGCGAAGCTGGGAGTCAAGGTTCTGAAAAGTAAATAACTTCATCAACCAATATTTCTTAAAAGGATGATAAATAATCAAGAAAGCCTTTTCATTTATTTTGGTATAAATGTACAAGTAAACCCATGCCTATATATGCCGTTATCTTATCATTTCCTCTATTTTAAATCTATTCCAGACTCAAACCTACTGTTTTGTGAACAGCTGTAAATGTCCCTTCACTAATACTGTGTATCAGTAAGTTCCTTAACCCAATGATTTCTGGTATATTTACACCTAACTGAATCACAGTCGACTGTTATTACTGATATTGACAGAGAAAGAAAGAAGGACAGATAGAGAGAGAGAGAGAGAACAAGAGAGAGAGGGAGAGAGAGAGAGAACAAGAGAGAGAACAAGAGAGAGAGAGAGAGAGAGAGAGAGAGAGAGAGAGAGAGAGAGAGAGAGAGAGAGAGAGAGAAAGAGAGAGAGAAGAGAGAGAGAGAGAGAGAGAGAGAGAGAGAGAGAGAGAGAGAGAGAGAGAGAGAGAGAGAGAGAGAGAGAAAGAGAGAGAGAAAGAGAGAGAGAAAGAGAGAGAGAAAGAGAGAGAGAAAGAGAGAGAGAAAGAGAGAAGAGAGAAAGAGAGAAGAGAGAAGAGAGAAGAGAGAAAGAGAGAAAGAGAGAAAGAGAGAAAGAGAGAAAGAGAGAAAGAAAGAGAGAGAGAGAGAGAGAGAATATTGATTGATTGATAGATACTGATACACATCTGCAATGAGTATCAGTATATGCAGTTCAAAAAAAAAAAATTAAAATAAAGAAAGATGCTTGCCTGCGCAATGTGATACATGTTCTCTCTCTGGCGATCCCCCTGGTGCTGTGCTGGGGATGTAGTCGATGCAGCAGATTCCAAAGGTTCAATCAGCTGCTCCAATTCTTGCTGCTGACCCTGAATGAAATCTAACTCTGCTTGCAGTCTCTGCTGATCCACCTGACATGAAAGCATATTATATAATTTACAGTAAAGAGAAACTCAAATAATAATCAAGGATTTCCAAGCAGCTGTAATACGGGGACAATTTTAAAAATCAGTTATTTTGGAAATCTGACTGGTTTATCCAAGTTAATTAGTGAAACCAGAAATATGTGAATATTACAAAACTTGTGTGGCTGTAAAAATTAATTCAAATTTATGAACACTTGAGTACCTATGTTTAACCCAAAACTGATGGGCATGTGAGTTTACTTTGTTAATTGTTTTTACATTAGCTCCACTTGTACTAAGTCACCAATGAGCCAATTATGAGTACTACTTCTCTCACCTGTTTACCCTTTTCCTTGATTTTCAAAGATATTTGATGTTATCTACTATCGCTTTTGCTAATGTCAATAACATTATAGTAATTATAATGTCTATAACAAAAATAACACCACTGATATTGAGAGCTTTAGTAAAAATAAATAAATAAATAAATAAATAAATAAGAAATAAATAAAACAAAATAAAGTAAAATAAAATTCAAGGAAAGGTATAATTAGGTAAGGTCATAAGATATACTAATTGACTCCTTTGTGGCTAAGCACTTGCAGAGCCACCTATGTGCCGAGACATTCCACAAAAAATTCTAAAATGAAAACAGTATTTTCCTGGGGATATTGGGTTAATGTATGAGATACTTATACAAGCTGAAATTCAGACCTATTTGATCCTCATACCAATTTTATGGAATAATAAATTATCTTCCCAGTGTCTGGCATAGTTGGACATACTATATATATAAACTCAGTTACTCAATTTTGGAAAAAGCTACTCAAAAGCATATAGAATACATGCTGTTTTTATAGGTCAATAATATCACAAAGATCACGGGGCATTAGCACCAGAAAAATTACATACATCTACATCCCACTCCTAAAAACAGTAGGTATGCCCATTTTTCCAGAATAAGGTTAAAACCAAATGACAACTTGACATCAATGGTAACTTCCACTTACTTCCACAGTGTTAAGGGTGTCACGAAGCTGCTGAACCTGATCATGCCCTTTCTGAAGAAGCTGGTCCCAAGCATTGACATGTGCAGCTTGCCTCATAAGTCGGTCCTCCTGTTCTCTCATCTCAGATACCCACTTGTTCACCTTCTCTTCTAATCCCCTTACACTGAGTGTGGGAGTAGTAGCTGCAGGTGCTGCTGTGATAGATGCGCTGCTTGTGCTGAAGTGGATAATGTTTGGGAATGAAGGTGGACAAACCTAAGGAATTTACAACAAGAACAATAATAATAATAATAATAATAATAATAATAATAATAACAACAACAAAAAAAAACAGCATCTTAATTTACAACACAATTCTAGAAATTTAAAAGCACTGTTGATAACAGAACAAGTTGAGTCTGTATTCTAGCTCATAGGCTAACAGCAGATTATTTAAGAAATTTCTAGTGCTAATCTTCTCCAACAACTCAATATAGCATCTCTCCATTATAAGCTGACATATCTTCTAAGTTTCCAACATATTTTCTATAGTTTAGAATTTAATAACAATTCAGTTACTCCTTTATATCCTTAAATTATCAAACATCATGAGTTCTGCTTGGTTTCATGTTTCATGGATTCTGGAATGTGGTCACTTCAATTTTCTAACATTAGTTCATTCCACTGTCTCTAGCACAAAATATGTAGCATTCCAGTCCATAATTTTTAACAAGAAACTTGGTTTGAGTTTATACCTGACATCAAAGAATATCATAACAGAACAGGTCAAGTACCATTTCTGCTATAATGCATCACTTCTGATTTCTTCTTCAATTTTGTAACTTAGTCTATGGACCAAGAGATCTGCACTGCACTCTCATAAATATTATTAGTTTGATATGGACTAACATGCTAATAATAACCAATGTTGTAATTTTGTTTTAAAAGCCCATTGCATCAAGTAGAATTAGGAGTGTGCCATATGACAATCTGAGTAACTGACATGAAAAGATTGATCACATAAACTAGAGTAAGGGTCACGTGTACCGGCATCATTACAAACTGCTTGGTCTGCGGGTTCACCCGTACACACAGTAATGTGCCAGAGCGCATGGAGTAGGAAGTTCTGCTTAATGTGGCGGACGCCCAGTGTCTGGCCGTTGCCAGAAATCACCAGAGTTTATCACGCTCAGGGATTTCTGTTACCCGGTGGTGATGGGTTAAAGATTTATTACAGCAGCAAGAGAATGCAACTCTTTGGTATGTGACATCTTCCAGGGATAGCAGGCAAATGATTTATGTGCTAAATGTTACCCCTTTAATACAAAACAATAGCTAATCAGAGCATTACACATACCATTCTCACTCAGGCTATGCCCCGAGGGATGATGCACAGGTATCTTATAAAGAATAGTATAAAATGTACTGTATGCATCCTAATAACATGACATGAATGACTCTTCTTCGTAGCTGTGACCAAGTCAGCCATGACAGGAATAGCATGTCACCTGGAGCCGCAACCAAATCAGGCAAGATGTGAACTAAACATCATCTGGAGGCATTGGGTTAATTTTGCTAACATGTAGATGGCTCTAGGTGCCCATAGTTGCTAGAAGTCTGTTATTAGGCCTAGTAATTAACTCCTAGGTGACAAAGCACTTATGAAGCTATCCATGTTTAAGTAAATTTAATAAGACAAAACCACAGTGGACAGTGTGTGCACTTAGTGTCAATACATTAACTGCAAATCTCTTCAGCTGTTGCTGTATTTCTGTCAATTCTTTCACCAGCACCTTACCTTGTAGCTGTTGTAAGAGTAGCCAAGGCAGGAGTTGATGCCGGCACACTAGCTGTTGCTGTCGATGTTGCTGAGGAAGGAAAATAAAGATCAGGCTAAGAGTTTGGCTTCTGTTATAACTTATATCCACTATATTATGACTAAGGTGAAAAAGTAAACAAAGAACAAGTACAATTCTCCTTCTCTTTTCTTGCCTCTCTAACTCTTACTGTAGTCTTCTCTCTTTTCCCACACATTTCTGTTTCCATGTCTCTTTTTCTCCTTCCTACTCTAATTCTCTGCCTCACCCTCTTTCCTGTTTTTATCTCCTGGTTTTCTTTCTCTCTATTTACATGATCCTCTCTCCTCTCTCCCCTCTACCTACACCTCTCTCCCCTCTACCTACACCTCTCTTTCTTGTATCTAGCAGTATCTGCCTCTCTCCACCTATATCTCTCTCTCCTTCCTCTCTACATACATCACCCTCTCTCCCCAATACTTATATCTCCCTGCTGGATTCTGTACCTTTAATATTCCTTATAAGGGTATGAGTGGGTCATAAGATCCCACTGTGATGGCTGGGTATTGCACATGATGTGGTGTTATGGATGGGCCAGTTGGGTCTCTAGTTGGTGGAGGTCAGTGGTTGAGCTAACTTGCTGGCTGCTCAGTGTATGAAACAAGCTGGGAATGTTGCTGTTACTGTAGAATATGGTATGACCCAATTTGGTCACTGCACAATAAGTGCAAATGATGCAACATTCCTCTTTTCCTCCCTCCTTAATACCTTTATTTCCATCTTTGTATCTATGCTTACTGCTTACATCTCCATCTCATCTGTCTGTTTCGATATATTTGTAGTTTCTATTTTCTTTTTCTCTGTTTCACTGGCTGACGGTCTATCACTTTCTTCCTATTTATCTGTCTACCTTCTACACATCTATCTAGGGTTTTAGAGTTTCGTTGGATAATAAAACCTTTGAGCTCAACCAAGTTACACCCTATACCAATTACCCTCTCTAATCCGTTTTCTTTCCCATACTCCTTGCCTTCATCTCAAGCCACACCAATTACATTATGAACATGAGTGAACAGCTTTGTCTCTCATCCCTGCAGGCAAATGAATGCAATTAACATCCAAGTGTCTAATCTGAAGCACATGCACATCACTCACTGGTAAGAGGGAAGCCAGAGGTTAGTGAGGGTGCAGAGGAAGCAGGCTTAGCAAGGAGTGTGGATGAGCCAAGAGCTGGAACTGCACCAGACGAAGCTGTGGTGTTTCCTGCCAGCTTCATGCCTGGTGTGAGTAAAGAAAAATTATATATTTCAGTTTCTTCTTTCCTTGTCTCTTTTTTTTTAGATTCCCAATGAAACCTTTTCACCATGGGCAAGGCAAGTAACTGCTAAACAGTACATTTTCATGGTTCAAGTTCTTCTCATTACAGGTGTTAATGAATAAATCAATCTATGCTATCAAACATTCTAACTTACTTTACTTACATCAAATTTTCTGTATTGGTATATAATTATAAAAGGCATAAAATGAAACTATCAAATCTCCATCTATAAGAAATCTGTATCAACAGAATATCATATTTTTTACAAAACATGAAACAGTCTGTTTCTTTCTCTTTTTGTTTGTCTACACATCTCAATCGTGCAATAAGATCCTAAAGTTTGACTGAGCTATATTCCAAACATTTTCAATTTCAAAGCTTAAATAACCTAATTTGGAGGACTCTATCTCTTAAATACATACAAATAATCATGCCTATTCATACATCCCTTCCTCTCTATAATAATAATAATATTATTATTATCAATAATAATAATAAAAAAAACACTGAAGCATACAAAAGCTCACAAGAAAATCTATGCTTTAAACTGAAGACGCAAAACTTAATGCCTATTTGATAATATGAAATATCCAACAAAAAATATGAATCAAATATGAACAACTCCAGACAAGCTCTTGTTTCAAAAGTGAGATCTGACAGTAAACAAAGTAAAGATATGATGATAGAAGTCCAGCTGCAAATCCCAATAATTACTTACCAGTGATATATTCATATATATGGGGATGTAAGATTTGCAATACTTGCACTTGTATAAATAATGATTTTGGTAAATCTTTTACAATTTCTTCAAATATCTACTCATTATCAGATGGATATATAATATGCATAACAACACGTGCATCTCTAAAACAGCTGAGAACAATTTTCTTTACATCAATATCAAATGACACCTTCACAGGCAAAAACAAAGCTATCTGACCCAAGATAGATGGTGTGGCAGCAGCTGTGACTGGAGCAGGTGCTGCAACTCCACTGTTAAAAATTCCACCTGTTGTGGCACCAGACGCTGCTGGCAGACTTGGTGCAGGTGCTGTTGTAACACTTAGAGCTTGCCCTACGAAAATTAAAAGCATTAAAATGGTTCACAACTGTACCAGTGTTAGTAAGCGGACAAGAACTGGCTACCAATTTGGTCCATTCACTACAGCAAGTCTCATTATACATAGCTTATATCTTATGTAAGTAAGACTGGCTCAAGCAAACATCATGGATAATTTTTGACTACAATAAAGTGTTATTCATATTTCAAAAGATAATCAATTTAAGTGTTTATAACTACAGCATTATGAAGAAATACTATTCTTTTGCTTTTACAATTATGATACACATGGGCAGAGGATGTTAGCATGTGCAATAAAGACTCAAAGCCAATTGTCTCATTACAGTTAGGTGAAGAGAAACAGAAGTGGAAATCCATCTACTATTCAAAGACTAAAGTATATGCAAAACAGATATCAACATTTTGCCTTCTTCTTTACAATCATCTTACCAAGCCCAGTAGCTGTTGCACTTGTAGCAGTTGTTGTAGAGCTTAATGTTGATAAGAGTGATGGCATTCCTCCTGTAGTGCCTGGAAAAAAGTGTATTATAAAATCAAACCCCAAAATAACTTAAAATTCTTTAAATTTCTAGAAAATTGTCAGCATTTTTTTTTACTTCTGCAAATTCCTATTCTAAATTCTTGCTTTTTTCCACACAAAAAAATTCTAATAGTTCATGAGACCCTTTGTAAATCCCTTGAAAATAAAATTACAGAAAGTCTGCTTATAAAAACTTACTAGGATAAGCCTTTGCACCAACTGTAAGGCTTCCTCCTGATGATGCTGGTTTTGCTGTCAAAGAGAACAATGTTGAAGCTGAAGATGTTGCAGCCTGCAATGAAGGCTGTGATGCTGCTGGTGCAGAACTTGGAAGAGAGAAAGAAAACACTGAAGATCCTCCAGAAGCAGCTGCTGTTCCAAGACCTGGAGCTGCTGTTCCAAGTCCAGGAGCTGCTGTTCCAAGTCCAGGAGCTGCTGTTCCAAGTCCAGGAGCTGCTGTTCCAAGTCCAGGAGCTGCTGTTCCAAGTCCAGGAGCTGCTGTTCCAAGTCCAGGAGCTGCTGTTCCAAGTCCGGGAGTTGTTGTTCCAAGTCCAGGAGCAGCCGTTCCAAGTCCAGGAGCTGCTGTTCCAAGTCCAGGAGCTGCCGTTCCAAGTCCAGGAGCTGTTGTTCCAAGTCCGGGAGTTGCTGTTCCAAGTCCAGGAGCTGCCGTTCCAAGACCTCCAGTACCAGCAAGTGTTGAAGTGGCTGGGAAGCTGAAGTTGCTTCCACCAGTGAAATTAAATCCACTACCAGCTGTTGAAGCTGCTGGAGGATTTCCTAGTAGGCTGCCACCAGAAGCTGTACTGGCTGGATTACTGAAAAATGACCCTCCTATGGGTGCAGTACTTGTGGTGGCAGAAGCTGCAGGGGGATTAAAGATAAAGCCTCCTCCTAACGTTGCAGCAGAGGTTGCTGGTTTGCCAAAACTGTATCCTGAGCTTCCTCCAGCTGAACTTGTAGCAGGTGAAGTGAAGCTGAAACCACTGCTTGGTGCAACAGCAGCTGCTGCTGTTGTTGTTGCTGCCTGAGCAGCTGTCCCAAAGCTAAAGCCACTGGATCCACCCCCACCTGCAATAGTTACAAACTCTAAATTAATGTTCCTTTCACAAGAGCCAGTTAACCCATTGCCTCCAGGAGATATTGGGGGAGTGCTTGATCTCTGCTTCAGGAAGTCAATTGAATTGCACTCACTGTGCCATACTATTAAAGCAACATGATTTTAATATTTTCCATAGTCAGAAATGCATGGTATTCATACAAATTGCTAGATCCAACCCGTATTAACCTGATTATCTATATTAAAGAGTCCATTTCAATAAATTAGGTGAGTTACTCTGTTTAAAAGATGGAATGTGGTTTTATTGTGGGATAAAATCATTTTTTTTTTCATTTTCTTTCAAGTTATATTCTTTGCAATTATATAGAAGGTCGCTACTCCCTTATCTTCAGTACTTTCTTTTTTTTTGTGTCATACTTCAGGACAGTCACACCAGCAGAGTGCCATATGACAATCTGAGTAGTTGACACAAGGACAATTACTTACCAGTTCACACCAGCAGCAAGGGAGCACAATTTTTTGGTACATAGCATCTTCCAGGGATAGCAGGCAAATTATTTACATGCTAAATGCTCCCCCTTTCATACAAAGAAAATATCCAATCAGAGCATTACACATCCCCACAACCAAGTCAGCCATGACAGGTACTACACACCATCTGGAGGCAATGGGGTTAATGGGCCAACTTCTCCTTTTAACAATTGCATGGAATTTTAAGTTCATATTTATATGTAGGCCTTTCTATATTCCCACTTCTTTTTTCAATAAGCCATACTGTGAAACAATAAAAAATTATAAGGGTATTTTTTATCAACTGGTTTATGGATTAGACCTATCTAAACTTAATACAAAATAACTAAGTAATTACAGATAAAATGGTATTGATCAAATATAAGCTTGTTTACTTTCTGGTAAAACTTAAAGTTTAGTTTTAAATCTTTGAAATAAAGTGAAAAGATTTCCTTAAAATAAGAAGAGGAGGAAGAGGGAAAGAAACGTGTAAAAGGAAAAAAAGAAGGAAGTAAGTGAAGAGTAGAAGAAAGGAAGAAAGGAAGAAAGGAAGAAAGGAAGAAAGGAAGAAAGGAGGAAAGAAAGAAATAATGTAGAGTTGAACTTACCTCCAAAATTAAATCCTGACATTCTGCTTGCTTAAAGTGTACCCTGAAATACTGAAAAGAAAAGTAATAATTTATACATAGTTTTCACTGCTTTCATACACATAATGATGAATTACTTGTAATATTTTTGGACATCAAAATAAGAATGAAAAAATATCCACAGTTAACACAGATATTAGATACCAATGACCACAGGATAAATGAAGCATACAACTTCTTGTCCAACAGATATAACCACAACCGTAGCAGGAAAAACAAGATGAATCATGGGCCATCCACAAATTATTGACTATTTTGAGTGCTCCTTAACCTCAGCTCACTTCTAACTTTCTTGATATACTCTGTGTCATTTATAATCCTCAGAAATATCACTAGGACTGTAGGAAAAATCAGAAGCTGTGCTTTCTTTCTACGTATCCTTGAAAATGTGTATTGGCTGCTTGAATCCTACAAATGTGACTTCTATGTTGGTGTGACTACAGATACTTTAATTTTACACTAAATGTTAGAGAAAATACAAATTGACACCTTATTTGAGTGCTCTCATGCAGTATCTTAACCCGTATCTGGCAGGCCACGACTATAGCTGTCATAACAGACTCGTCATACCAGGTGTGGCTATAGGTGTCACAATGTGCTAGAACATGCTAAGGGGAAAAGTTCTGCTACAGTAGTGTAGTGGACTCCCAGGCCAAATGGCAGGACAGTTGCCAGAAGCCTTTGGAGTCAGTGACACCAAGAAATTTCTGAGGGGTTAACCCCTTGCCGCCGGGTGACGGCGATACGCGTGTAAACAAATCGCTCGAAAGGTGGCGTGCGGCCAAACCAGCCGGCGGCGCGCCAAAGCGCGGCGAGCCAGTGATTCGGGCTGACGCCCCGTACTCCTGCGCTCAAAGTCGGCGCGCTGCCTTTGTTTGCCAGAGCGTAGAGTTTTATTTTCCTTTAGTACACCCGGCGTCATTGGGTTAATTGCAATAAAGAGTGAATATTTGGCTTCAAAAGGCAAACTTTCCAATGTGATAAATCAAGGTAAACTAAACAAACCAGTGCAAGAGGTAGTCTGGGGGTTGCCCCTGGTAGAGGATTACCAATTCCCCATGGGCTCCCCCAAGATTGAGGTGGATATGAGGGGAAAGAAATAAAAATGAAGGAAAAGAAAAAAAGAAAAAAGTTCACTTAGAACTACCAAAGATTGTTTGAAAATAAGCTGCTGTTGCTCCAGCTTCCATTTAAAGCAAGTCCTGAGATCTCAGCAACACCCCTTGTTCACGGGAGGCATCTACTATGATGCCATGGGGGCATAGCGCCGATGCCACGGATGACATCCCTACAGAAGTGGCCCATACAGATATACCCATTTGGTAGGCCATACAGCCACGGAATAAGCCCGCACACATTGGGCTAAAGGAATTATTAACCATAAATCTGCAACTGAAAGTATCTCACTGATCCCTTTCCACAGACTTTGAGACTTGGAGAAACACTGTTGGTACAGAGGATCTCTATTTTCTTCACACCAAATTTCATCATTTCATTCTTTTGCCTCTGACATTTTGTGGATACATGGTTATACATTTTTCAGGCTTTAGTTGTTTGAGTTGCAAAAATCTATATACATAAAAAAGCAATAAGCACTCTCTGGCATTGATATTAACCCATTCGCACCGGGTGTTACGTATACGTGACAGGCCTACTGTGAGTTTACTTGTTTAATTGTTTTAACTCATAGATGGCTACACTTGTTGCGAGTACTGCCTGTCTGGCCCGTTTACCCTTTTCTTTAATTTATGAAATATTTTACGTTATCTTATTTTGCTGTTACTAATGTTTATAACATCATAGTAATTATAATGTTTATAATGAAAATAATCATCGATATTCATAGCACTAGTAAAAAATACATTTTCCTGCCAAATGAAATCAAGTAAGGACGAGTCATCTATGTGTAGAGACAATTCACAAAAAGTATAAAAAATGAGCACAGCATTTTCCCTATTTTTTGTTCATTTTTACCCGTCGCGAATGGGTTAATTTACCTCCTGAACTCATTAATGGATAATGGCCAATGCTAACTTGAAACTTGGCTTTGATACACATTGAAGCTAGATAAGACTGAAATAATAAACAAGTATAAAAGCAGTGACCATAGCTGATAGCGGGTGCGATAATTCTACGGACACACTCACCAGAGACTTAGTACCCAACTCCACATCACAAAATTTATTTAACCACTTGCTGACGGGGAAAATTAATAAAAAATATGGAAAATGCTGTGCTCATTATATATATATATATATATATATATATATATATATATATATATATATATATATATATATATATATATATATATATATATATATATATTTTTTTTTTTTTTTTTTTTTTTTTTTTTTTTGTGAAATGTCTATACTTAGATGGCTCTGCCTTACCTGATTTCACCTTTCCTTGAATTGGTGGGAAAATGTATTTCTTACTAGTGCTATGAATATCGATAATATTATTTTTGTTATAAACATTATAATTACTATAATGTTATAAACATTAGTAACAGCAAAATAAGATAACGTAAAATATATTAGAAAATTAAAGAAAAGGGTGAACGGGCGAGACAGGCAGTACTCGTAACTGGCTCACTGTTGGCTTAGTACAAGTGTAGCCATCTGTGTGTAAAAACAATCAAATAAGTAAACTCACAGTAGGCATGGCATGGCATGCCCGTCGTCAGTGGGTTAATAATTCAAGTTCCCATAACTAAGCATGCCCTCTGGGTACTGCCCATGGGGAGGGTTGATAGGGAGCAGAGCAGAAAAGAACTGTCTTTGGTTATTTTTAGTTTCACACAGCCATCCTATCTTCCATTTTTTTTTTTTTTAAATTATCCATGCTGTAATATGCACAAATCTCTTCTAAATTTCCATTGGAAATGACATAAATAAAAGTATTGGTAATGTTTATGAAGTAACCTAACCCCTCTGAGATTAAGCCCTTTTACTCCTACCATTCCTGGCAAATCCACAGACATTGCAGTATGAATCAAAATCCTCCCTAACCTGAGGGCTTCACCCTTAGACACCCATCCGGTGTCTAGGTCACCGTATTTCTCTACTTAGGGCTCTGCCCCTGGAGCCCCACCCAGTTGTCGAGT